GAAGATGGCAAGGATGATCTTTGCGATCCCATGTTTCTGCCTAGCCAACCACACCAAATCGTCAACAAAGATAAGCTGCCAGAGCGCCGCCTTTCCCCACATGTAGTAGATCAGCCGGCCCAGGCCACCCATCAATCTGCTCCAATAGTACGCCGCAATGCAAATCCCAAACGTCCCAACTTTGTTCAGCCAAACGCAGCTCCAGGCATGAACTTGAGGACGGAACAGAGGTCGCCGGCAGTTGGGTTGCGCAACTGATCTCGCAACTTGATGCGAGCATTGACATTGACCCCATGCGTTCCATCGTGGACCACGCGGCAAGAGCCATCTTTCTTCTCTATGGCACCCAGCGACGCAACTGACAGCTTAGACCCGTACGAGGCAAGGGCTTCCGCTGTGGGAACCTCGATCATGGCTTCCTCCTCGGCTTCCGCGAGGAATTGCTGCTGGACCTCAAGCGCATGCTCCTTGGCGGACAAGTAGTTCTCGCGGTCACAACCTTCTGCAAGGCATTCTTCGGGATACTTCCGCCACTTTGTCTTGCGCTCGAAAACGGCCGGCACACGCGGGTTCTTGACGCCGACACCCAACCTAACACCCTTTGCAAACGATACGCTGGACGAGAAGAAGGCTTTGTGATCCGGATCTCCAGCAATCCTCAGCAGCTCTTCAACGGCAGCAAGATACATTTAAAGGTTGCCCCAATGTCCGTTCACGCACCGGCAACGTTGGGCCCACGCTATCCAAGGCTTTGAAGATCAAGTCACGCCCTTCCTGGATGAGTGCAGCACTGAAGGGACACGACACAACCTTGCCGTCCGCAAACGAAGAAGCCAGCTGTTGAACATCCAGGAACCTGCACAAGAGATTTTCTAGCTCACCCCCCAACTCTTCCAAGAAGCGCAACGAGCTGACATCGTTGGAATCTTTCCGCCGCTCAGGAGGCCACCGTCCAGGCGAACAAAGACCAAAACCATCGCACATGCCTCTCAGCTCACCCATGATTGATGAGGTATAAGCGGTGGACCATGACCTCTCACACCATCCCCAAGACGAGCTTTGCGGAGTCCATCTTCATCTTCCTCAGAGCTGGCTTCCAGGTCGGCGTCCACTGCTTTGCTGGGCTCCAGCTCCCAAGCAGCTTCGCCAGTACGTTCCCAGCCCTCTTTTGAGGCGCGCAGGCCAGTTGTGCAGAAGACGCCCCATCCGCAGGCAACAACTGACCTGAAGCCTCACTGGACTCTCCCCCGACTTGCGCATCAGACTCACCAGATAGTCACTCTCGCTCGGAGCGCTTGACATGCGGGCAGGCAGTGTACGAATGCTCACCAAGGCAACGCTGGCAAACATGTGCGAACTTGCAGTCCTTCTTTGCGCATCCCTTGGACTTGTTGCAGAAGAAACAGATGAGCCGACCATCACTGGCAAACTTGTGCTTTGCAATGGTCTTTTGCACACCCTTGCCCTTGAGAGAATCCTTGCCGCCGCCCTTGCCGGTCCCTTTTCCGGGTCGAGCAAACAAGGGCTCCGGCGGCGGCGGAACATGTGGCGAATCCGGCAAAGCCAAAACAGAAGTGGTTGTACTCGAAAGAACGAAGGCGCCAAGGGAGAAGGGTGTCACAAAGTGGAACGCAAGCAAATCAGGCGCACGACAAGCCTTGTTGATGGCATCACCGATGTCGGTCGCCTCGCCTGCCCGGATGTATTTGTACGCGTTCTTCCGCACCTCAGCCTCATACTTTAGCACCAAGCTCCACTTGGGAGCACGACCATCCTCTGTGCGCAAGCCAGCAACTTTATCACCTAGCACATGATCAGACAGCCTTCGAAAACTGTCCACCACAGACTCCCGAAGCCAAGCCCGGGTGGTGTGTTTTGTGCGGCCCATAAGCCACGCCAATCCAATCCGTCGGAGCCTCAGCTCCTCAGGACTGCCAGGTGGAGTGGTCATAGTACGTCCTGGCTTGAAGCGTAAGCAAGAAGACGAAGGATCGATGATAGGACTCAACCTCGGCACCTTCAGCACTGGTGACATCCCGTAGATCTTCCACGTGCGGGGCGTTGTCCTCCACCTGTTCCAGCTTTTGAGCCAACAGGGACTTGGAAGTCTTGGAAGGCAGCTCTTCATCGCCCAGCACTCCGTCGCCATTTTCCACCGCCTCTCGCATGGCAGCGTACTCGGTCACTTGAACGAAACGGTCTTGAACGCCAAGCTTCGCCTCAGCACGCTTCTTGTCATTGACCGAGATCTGACGCCGGCAAACTTCCCACGCTGTCAATAACAATGCCATGCTGACACGGGCTTCTGCCCCTGTGCTGCAGTCCAGGGGAAGCTCTGTCGCCAAGGCTTGACGAACTTCTGCACGGGTTTCATCAATCCCGGCAAAAATGTGAAGGGAAATGAAGCCTTTCCTGAACAACTTGACTTGCATGGCCTCAGGCATGCCAACATCGTCCATGATGTAACGCAGCGGTGATTCCGCAGAAGCCAGGATCTGATCGTCGGAGCGGGTGTCCGTCATCGCGAGATCACCTGGCAGGGGCACAGAAAGCAAATAAAGAACGAGAAACAGCACTTCTCCCCGGCACAAGATGTTGCCGAAGAAACAAATACTCCCGAGCCAGACCGGCCGGCGATGATTTCACTAGCCAGACCGGCCGGCGATGATTCCACTAGCCAGACCGGCCGGTGATAGAGACAGTCCCACTAGCCATACCGGCTGGTGAAAGAAAATGCCTGCAAGACCTATCCGGCCCTGCCCTGACACAAACAGAGCCAAATTCCCGCAATCTCTTCGATCGCAAAGCAGCCCTGAAAGACAAGATGTCCTCTACCGCCTCACGTTGGAAGCACTGGGCAGTAGTATGAAGCACGGGATTCTCTCTAGCTCAGACCGAGCCAAAGATGTGTCACTGTCATGCATGCTCAAATAACTGTGGGGCAAGCTGAAGTCACTCTATCCCAAGGACACGCGCAAGCACAAGACCCACAGCTACACACGCGTAAGAAAATTTTAGCCAATTCCATCATTCTATCACGCATCGACAACACGAATGGAGCAAGACCCTGCTACTGCTACGGCTATGAGGCTTCGGACTCACTGCTCGAGGATTCGTCCTCCTCATCGCTGCCGCTGGCACCTGATGCCTCACGCGTGGGGTCTTGCGGCTGCTTGCCATTGCGCCAGCAGTGCTTGCAGGGAACATCATACTCAGCCTCTTGCACTTCGTAGCCAGGCACCATTTCATGCAGGGGTCGTCAGGATCAGTACCGCAGCCATCCTTTCTATGCAACCGGCGCAGTCTTCTCTTTCCGACCACCGCGATGAAGAATGGCGGGGCCGCATCTGCTTCAGCGAGGTTCAAGATGCACTCGTCCGCCGGCGGCACCGGACAGGAGCCGCCGGGCTTCGTGCCCTTAGCGCAAGATGTGCCCAAACGTAGCAGAGCCACTTGGGCCAGAGCATCAACATGACCCACGCCACGATCAGCCAGGAACACTTCCAAATCGTCCAGGCCCCCGTCGACCAAGTGCCACCGATTATCTCGGCGAACACCTTCGAGCGCACTCTCTTGCAACGTAATCACTACGTGCTGGGCCGTACGGATGTATTCGTCCGAAGCCGTAATCACCCGCCAGCGGCCAACGAAATCACGCTTGTCTCGTGGACCTCCGAGGCTAGCTAGGACAGAAACAAGCCAGTTTCTCTCCGAATGTTCCGTCCAGAAGGAGAGCACATCAGCTTCGACAATGAGAAACTTGTCGGCGAGCTTCCATCGCTGGCCATCCCAAAATGGACGCTTCAGAAACCGCAATAGACGCTTTGATCCAGCCAAAGTGTGTGCATAATCTGACATGCGGTACATTGCACCAGACGCATCTGCATTTGGCAACGGCAAGAAGTAGTCACGCTCAAAGTACATGTCAGCAGAGGACCAAACAGACCAACCCACCTCCAACCAATCAGGCTTCATGAAGAAAACATGCCTGCTAACGAAGACTGGTAAGAAGCGGACCCGCTTTCCTGGGCCGCTTGTCTTGGTTCGGTCGAGCGTGCCAACAAGACCGTGCGCCGTCAATCGTAGTGACGAGGGGCAAAGGCCAGCCATGTCCCCAGAACGGCTCGCAGTCCAGAACTTGACTAGTTTATAGAAAGCGAAGGACCGTACATACAATGGCAGAGATGTGTCACCGATGGGCTCCAATCACCGACACAGGTAGCATGGGGGCCTTCCGCTTCGGAGGAGCCAGTGGCTTCCAAGTCAGCGGTCAGCTGGTTGACTGTGTTGCGCAAAGCAGGCAGCGGAGAAAGAAAACGCTCATCAGAAGCAACTCCTCCAGCTTTCTCCAGGAAGGACAAACTGGCAAGAATCGCCTGCGGCACCGTGCGGGCACAGGGCTCCAGATATCGCTCGTGCAGATAGTCGAGAAGCATACCCACGTGCACAGGCCATGCCTTACCACTCGTAGCCAAGCAGTAGAGCTTGACCTTCTTCCACTCCCGCACATGTTTGCCGACTGTAGCAGCTCGAGCTGAGCCCAAAGCAGCTAACAACATGGACTCGGGGAAGCGCACGAGCTTCATGTGTTCCACGACAGGGAGGCCCGCCTCTTCTACTGGGTCTGCAAGCACAAGTTGCCAACGCTGGAGTTCTTGCCTCTCCATCTCTTGTCTGGACGAAGTTGACGCAAGCCGTCTGTCCAATCTATGCCGCCAACGCCGAACTGTTATTGCCCCAGAGCGATTTTTCGCAACAACGCTCGTGTGAACCCCGGGACAACATCGGTTCGCAGCCGCCTTCACCAGACGCCAGGCTAACGGCCTAGAACTTGGCAGAGTCAGGAACCAAAGCAAGTCGCCTGTGAACTCGACACGCTTGTTCCGAGGCCCGCACCACCAATGTGCTCAAAACAGAGCACGTATGAGAGATACTCACACCAGCATCAGAAGGGCAGTGCACCGAAGCAAACGATTCCAGATCGGCCCGGTCAGCAAAGAAATTCGACAATATGTTTGCAGCAGGAACGCGCTCAGAACCAAAGGCGTCCCGCAGTTGCATCGGCAAGAGCAGCCAAAGAGAGTCACAGTCCAAACTCAACGAAATGCC